AGATAGATAGATAGATAGATAGATAGATAGATAGATAGATAGATAGATAGATAGATAACTACAACCTGCTCAGTCTGGAAGGCTGTTTCTTGCTCCCGGGATTCCTAGTTGCCTTTGGGTCTTTCTCTAGGGTTGAGGCCTCTTTCCCCCATCCACATTAGCGTGCCTATTGACAATGTTCCTATAGTAAGAAAATACAAAGGAAATGTAGGGTGTCCTTAGTTTTAAGAGTTGAGGTGTCTGTCTCTCCTGCTTTAAAGCATCAGGTGCCATGAGAGGAACTCCTTCACTGAGTGTAGGATGCCTCGGAGGGTCTTATGTGGATGTGCAAAAGTGTTCACTAGGACAGATGTTGATAGCGGCAAGGGGGAAAGATGCTTTGAAGAAAAAAATGTATCCTTGCTTCTATCCCTGGACCATGCTGTAAGTTGACACAACTCTCAATGCTTTGTCCAGCTGCTGTCAGGAGGAATTCTAACCCGCCTTTGAGACTTTGCATCCATAGCATCCTGCTTCCTTCCTATCTCATCAGGTTGAGATTGCTATTCCTCTTTTCAGGACCTTGAACACAAGGACTGTAAATAGTAACTCGGTTAATGCGACAGGATGCTGTAGCTTTTTTTTTTCCTGATGCTTATCCCCTTTGGCTCACTGTCAAATTGCAAATGCCCAAACCTATAATAAGTCAACCCATAATTAAAATGATCTATAAGAGAGAACAGTTGGTCTAACCTGAGAAAGAAGGTAAAGCTTGTTGGGAGACATTTCATGGGGTTTGCATCAGAAAAAGACGACTAAGAAATGTAGCTTGGGGCTAGAGAGACAGCTCAGCAGTGCTTACTCCTCTTGTAGAAGACCCAGGTTCGATTTCCAGTCTCACATAGCAGTTCACAACCCTCTGTAATTCAGGCTCCAGGTGATCTTATGCCCTCTTCTGGCCACCAGGGCACTGCATCCGTGTGGTGCATACTCATACATAAAGGTCAACACTCATGCACGTAAAGCAAGAATACATATATCTTTTAAAAGAAATGTTGCCTATTGGGGGGGTGGTGGCAAGATGGATCAGTGAGTAAAGGTACTTGCCATACACACTTGGAGACCTGAGTTCAATTTCCGGAAAAGTAGAAGAAAAAAGACTCCACAAAAGTTGTCCCCTGTCCTCCATGTGTGCCATCCCAAGTGTGCCCACATATACCTTGTGCACACACACACATACACACACAGAGACAGACAGACAGACAGACAGACACAGAGAGAGAGAGAGAGAGAGAGAGAGAGAGAGAGAGAGAGAGAGAGA